CTCATAGAACTCCAGAATAAGGGAGACAACATAAACTAGTGAATATTCTAGAACTGCTACAAAATGAAGAGTGGTCCACCAAACTCTCCTAAAGGTTTTGTCTTCCCTCTACAGAGTTGATCACTCATTTGCATTTTTTAAATTCACAAAACAATGTAACGTCTCCTGAAACAAAATTGACAGGGAGATCCATGAAGTAGAAATGATGAGAAAGACAGAAGGAGAAGAAAAAAGTGATTTGGGGACCAACACAAGGCAGCAGAAGCGGTTTCTTGCCCTGTAGTTTTCTGTTTTAAATTTTTGAGTTAGTCATAAACACTTAAAAATAAGAAAATATCACATTTCAAACAAAGCAGGATTATGTCGCTCGAAAACATCTCAAGGTCTGGTGACATGGGACAAGCCATCTTCAGTGGTAAGAACAGCGGGCTGGAGCTTCCCAACATCCAAGGCCCCCACCCTTCTTAATGAACACCTGCTCTCCAGGTTCCAGCAGCTCAGACCTAGCCACTCTGTTCAGTTAGATTTCTGGCTTGTCTGTGCAGGAATTGAGTTCATGGCCTAGATGGACTCGGACATCCAAAAGGGTGGGGAAAGGAAGCACACTGTACAGCACCAGAGAAAAGTGGTCCCTCCTGCACATGGTCAGGGGCAGCAGCAGCTCCTTCTGCAGAGGTACTCGAGGAAGAGGCCTTACCAGCCTGGATAAGCAGAGCAAAGAGGCCTCACCTCCTCTTTGGGAGTGTTCTGGGAGTGTTCATGTCAGTTTCACAACATTGCAGACTCTGCCTTTTACAAATTGCACCACCAGAGCAAGCCCTAACAGAAAGGCCCCAAGCCAGGCACCCGAGGATGGTCAGCAAAGTTGAGGCGTACGCACACTCTTTTCCTTTTCTCCTGTCTTTTCTTTCAGTCACATCTGCGTTTTGTTTTCTCTCATTTCAAATGTTTCCCAACACATCATGTTTAGTGAGGTGTTTAAGACAGACTGGGAGATGTCGTTGGAGGCAATGTTTTATAGCACAGTTTGTACACTAGTTTATTGCCAAATTAAAATAAAAATGTAATCTGGTAGACTCAGCCTGCTGCTAAGGCTTCCTTGGGTGTTTTCCTGTATTGAGGCAAGAAAGGGAGGGAGAACCAGCCAGGAAGAGATGAACGCTGCCCATGTTCCCCTACCTGCTCCATTTCCAAATGCAAGGAAACAAAAAGAATGAGTGGAATGTTTGGTTTGCCCACTGCTTAATTACAGAAATAAAAAGATAAATAAATAAAATAAAGGAAGGAAAGATTTTGGTGCACCTATAACAAATGCTGTGGAATTCTTCATGGTGTCCATAGTGATTTACTGCTGTTTTGTAAGAAGTCTAAGGGATGTGACTTTATAGGTCCAATGTCCCTTTGCCGGTTTGACATGAAACTCACATAATGTGCATAATATTGATTTTTCTGGAAATTCCAGGGCTTTCCAAGGTCACATCCTCACATAGACCCTTCAGAGGTCAGGTGTCCGGCTCCTGTGTCTATACTATATTAGTCCCCCAACAGGGCTTCCCAAGTACTCAGTCTACTTCTTTTAGAATTTCAAAGGGAAAAAAGTCTCCAAACCTTTTCCCTGTAGCCATTCCAGTGGTGCCTGGAGAGCCACATGGCTATTCCTGAAAGTTTTCATTTCCTGGCAACCACCAAGACACTGAATATCACAGATACGTTTCTCTCTCTAAGAATAAAGGCAAAAACATTAAAACATCCTGCTTTTACAAATTTTGAGGGCATTTGGTCATTTATATTTCTCCCTGATTAAAAGCTATTTTTTTAAAAAATTGGCTTCCCATGCAACTGATGGCCAGTAAAACTCCATCTTGGGCCAGAAAAGACAGTCTGTTCAACAAAACTCTTTGAGTCCCTTAAAATGCTCACATCAAAAAGCCTCCACTAGGTGTTGAGGCATTCAAGATAAAATGCAGTCAGAGCAGAACATCACAGCCCATATGGGCTCTATCCTGCAAGCCAGAGATCCAGACTTTACTCAGGGCCTTAAAAGTCTCACTCACTGAAGGAGAGAAAAAGCAATGGCAGGGAAATAAGGGAAGAATAAAGGTTGGTATGCATTCAAAAGTGGGAGAATATGCTAGAAAAGACAACAAGGACAGAGAGAAGAGAAGAGGACTCTCCACAGGTGAGTTCTGAAGGACTTGCCAGCTCAATAAGATACTTTCTAAGAGACAGTACCTTTTGCCTGAGGATTCTGCTCACCGTAGGCTGGTGTAAAACAGCATCCAGCAGAGTGAACACTAGCACTGAGGCTAAGATCTTAGCTGGGAGTTCTGCAGCAGCAGCAACAGCAGCTGTCACAGAAAAATTGGTGAGCAATACTTATATGAAAGAATAAATGTTCCCTTTGCCTGGGCGAATACACTCATTGGCCTGCCAACACCAGCATGGGGCCCTCCTTGATGCAGCTTATTGCTGCATCCCGTCAGTGTTAAAAGCTCCATGATTCAGGGGTGATTGCCAGCTATTATTTCCATATCACTGACTCACCTGAGTGGCCACAGACCCCTCTCAACTTGACTTCCAGCCAACACCATCAGTTAATGGCTATCTGATGCCTGCAGCCCATTCCTCTCCTAGCTAATGCCCCACTCCTCATTCTGTGATTCAAGCCGTGAGATATGGAATTCTTTCTGAATCCCTATCAGATTAGCAAGTTATCCACAATTTTTTCCAGGATGATTTCTTCATTTTCTCCTAGAGAAACAGAGAGCTTAGCAGAAAGGCTGGCTTCTGCCCACTTGCTAATCTCAAGATATCACCAGCAAGAATGAGAATCCTACCAAATTTCATTTAAGGCTTTATTCTATTCACTGAACTTTGACATATGATAGCAATGAGTGGTTTTTCCCTTTGGGAAAATTCATTAACTTCTCAGATTTTTGGTTCATTCACTACATAGAGAGCAAAGGCTGTTAAGGCTTCTTCCAGCTCAAAAATGATAAGATTCATTTATCTAGCATCACAAAAGATTCTTTTTGGTCCAGACCAGGACTACTGCAATATCATCTTAACTGGTCTTCTTGCTTTTGACCTCATATTACCACAATACATCCTAATATTATACCAGATTAATCTCTGTAATCTACAGCTCTGAACACATCACTCCACTGACCAAAATTTTCAAAAGGCTCCTAATTAGAAAAACAAAAATTATTTTGCCTAACAAAGCGGTCAAAAATAATCAAGATTAGGTTCCCAAAGTATACATACATAATTAACTTTCTAAATTTCAGTTTCAGCCAAACAAACACATTCATGAGCCTGTAAACATGGTTTTTCTAACTTTATGTTTATGACATTCCTCTTGGGTAAAATGTGCCCCCCACACACACAAAAAAAACCCAGAAATATGACATATTCTTTAAGGTCCAGGTGGAATCATCTCATAAGATCTCCATCTCCTGAACTTTGGGCTGTCATTTTCATAGAATGCATCCAGTTACTTTGATTGGGTACCTATTATGTGTGTAAGAGGGCACTGCCTTTCTGGCTTCTCTTAGATTACTGGTGAACTCATGAGTATTTATCTCCTCTCCCCAGATGGATTGAATGGTCCTTGATATAGTTATTTTATACCAACGCTGCCCCATGCTGAGCACCTAAAACAGATGTGAAGTCTAATATTTGTTTCTGGTTTTTCTTTTCAATCTCATTGGAAGTGCACCTGCAATTATAGTTATCCGTACAAACACATCTTAAGGCAATGAAAGCCAACACCGAGCACTATTCACCATAAGTGGCTGAGCTGGAACCACAGCCCAGGTGTCTTAACTACTCCAGGGTTATCCACTCTGTCATGGTGATCACAAGAGGCACTGTTTGAAGTGCTGGGACATGAAGGGTTACATTTTTGGGCAGCTCCTGCAACATAACTGCAAAGATGCACAGTTATGTAGCCAGGTAAATCTGGCCTTCACTGGGCCTCTGGCATCGGGGGAAGATTAACCAACTGTCAAATAAAATATAATAATCCAGTGGATTAAATGACTAATACTCTGTGTCCTGAGCCGCTCAGCCTCGCCTCTGGTAACTGCACCATCCTGGACCAGATGCACTGTGGCTTGACTCCAGGAATGAAATTGTACATTCTGCTGAAAGGGTAGCCAGGCTGCTCAAGAGGAAAAAAAATACTAATTGTAAATCTTTTCTATTTTTAGGCTTAATGTGCAGTTTATTTGGCAGTAAGGGCAGCATGAATGAAACTCCAATCCCAAGAATTTTAATTTGCTTCCTCCCCACTGCTCGGGTCAATAGAGACCTTGGAAGGTTGCTTACAGCTTTCCCCTCCCTTCAGGAAGGCCTCCACACATCTAAACCCCCCTGATAGACAAAGCCCTAGAACATCCTTCTCACCCACGTCAGTCCAGTATTTCTTTAAATATATGTAATTTCCAACACATGATTCCTCTAAGGAGAATCCTCAGAATGCTTCACTGAGTCACGTATGTCACAACGAGCATTCCAATATCACACCTATATTCCTTTTGGCTTTTATGACTGGGGTCTCACATTTGCCTGTGTATATTTTGTTTCTTTTGATTTTAATTTAATTGTATTTGCTGTTGCTAGCCTTATATTTTGAGAATAGGAGTTCCTTAAAACCAGGGGCTATAGGTATTTTATAGAATATATGGTATATTTTATAGTATGTATCCCAGAAAATATATACACATATCTCACACACACAGATATATAACAGAATTGCTTCTCTACAATATCTTCCTTATCATCAAGCTTTTCCTTTGTATGCTGGCTCAGACATTTACACAGCTCAAGCAGGCCATGTGAGATCCTCTTGGCTGCCCCTTGCTCCACCAGCACATGGTTCAGGATACCGCACAGAACAAAAATAATCATTGAGAAGAAACATAGAGATGATTAACCAGAGGTCTTTTCTCTGGAGAACCATGCACCATTGTCTCAAACAAGGTAATGAGGCTCACCTTTTGGTCCTGGCTGTATGCCAGAATCCAGTCCTCTTGCTTGGGGTGGAAGAGCAGGCTCTGGATGTAAAAGTTCAGCCGGTACTTCTGATAGGTTGCCCCTTCATCTGAGCTGATCAATAAGCTGCTCTCAATCTCCGGGTCTGTGAGTAACATGATCTGCAGCAAAGAATTGTTGGGGAAAGAAAACAACAGAAACTTAAGTTTATAAATTTATAAAACTTAAAAATGAACTAAAATTTAGACAAGGGAGGAAAAAGGAGTAGGCCAAACAAGGACCTTGACTCTGTTAGATTTGTTTTCCTGCCTTGGACCAATGCCATGAAACTGTTTTCACTAAGAAATGAAAGAGGCAGGACAAGTTGGAAGGAAGGAAGAAGAAATAGAGGATTGCATTTTCTTCTCTTCTCCAGGGCGCTTGTTTTGTTCCAAGGTTATTTCCTTAAACTGACTATTTCCCACTGTTCCCCTAACCGCAACCCTCCTTCCTATTGTGACTTGTCTACTTTCCATTTGGGTGAATAAAAGAGCAAAACTTGTCAGTCTCTTGTGGGACATGTGGAAAGAAACAGAGTCCATTGGTTTTTCTCTCTACCACAAGCCCTCTTGTTCTAATCAATAATATCCCATGTCATCCTGCTTGATTTTCTGAGTCTTGAGTCAAAGGCTGGGGTTTCTAAAACCTTCTCTGGGAATTGTACAGAGGCCATTTTTTCACCTTCTAACCTATTATACAATTTACTTATTTATTTTGTTTATCGTCTATACACCCTCTAATAGGACATAAACTGCATGAGAATAGGGATATTTGATTTTTCTCCCCCACAGGTGTATTCCCAGAAGCTAGAGTAAGCCCCAGCATATATTATATACTCAATAAATATTTGCCAAATGAATGAATGAATAAAATGAATAAATGAAAAGAATTTTCAGAGTAGTCACGTGGAATTAGAAAGATGTCACAACAGTTTGAGCAGATATGAGTGGAAGCTCCATGGAAGGAGTAGTTGGATGCCCTTCTCAATCTTTAGCCTACCGGCAAGAGAATATGCTATACATGGGTAAAAATTCATGGCTTCAGATGCTTCGTACTCTTTCATTGGGATCGTTATATGCGGCCAGAGCAGTGTGAACCAACCGCAATAGAAACAAGTTGGAGAAGCTGCCCTGAAAACTGCGTTTTATTCTTTGGTTTTATGCCTCTAGGAATGTGTGATAAAGTGCTTCTTTCCCGACTCTCTGCAGGTCTCCTTTCACTCAGTCGAAGTGCGCACCTAATGCCTCCAGAAAGGCAGCCTTAATGCTACGCATTGACTTCTTCCCCATCAACTTATTAATTGGCACTTTCTGAGTTTTGTTCAGAGAAGCATGAAAGATGGGCTTAATGTGTGGCTGTATGAAAAGAAATCACTGCAGCCTGGGTTTAAAGATTACTAGCCAAGGACGCAGCGGTTCTAGGGAAGGAAGAGAGAGAGAAAGAGAAAAAAATGGACACATGCCATAAAAGAGTAGAATGCCAGGTAAACATATAGAGCTTTCTCAAGCATTGGGAGGCAATCACATTAAAACCTCAGAATAGTTAGTGTCATCTTCGAAAGTGGTGTCCTGTCACTGGAAATGGCACGCGAGGATCGCACACCAGACACACTCAGCCTAACCGTATTTACGTTATCCAGGGTGAATTTAAGGTTCCTTGCTGCTCTTTCAACTTCCCCTTCTTGAATAGCAGAAAAAGGATGTGGTACAGTGAGCAGAATGCTGGGGCTGTCAGCCACACTCCGGACAAGATGGAAAGCACACATGAAATTGGAGACTAATTGCCTCTCATACCATGTCCGTGAAGCCACTGTCCACCAACCAGAAATTCTGTCAAAGTTACAGGTTTCTCTGTCTTGCATTCAACAAGCAGTGTTCCCTCATTGGATGGCTGACACGGAGCCATCAGGTAATCTGTTAAGTACAAACTCACAAAGCTTCATTAAAATCTGTCTATGCATTAAGCAGGAATGATCAGATGGCTCCTAAATTCACAAGAATATTTCCAGGTGATTTCATATTTACAGGAACAAAAAAGCTGTCATTCTCCAAATAACAAATAAGTCATCAAATGATCATATTGCTTTGTGTCTCCAACCACAATTAACAATAATACATAACAACTTTTGGCACTACTGCCAAAAAGTAATTTCCGTGATAATACGAAGAGGCTCAATTTTATAGAGTATCTATTGTCTTGGTCAAGGTGATTTGTTCCCTGTTAACCAGAATATGTTTTCCTCTCTTCCTATGAGCGCAGATCTCACCACCTGCTCCTCCTGGAAGAATACTTCATCACAATAAAAACACCCGGCAGAATATCCTCAAATCAAGCTGATTTTTATTTATCATTTACTTAAAATATTTTGGATACACATTTATGCTCTAACTCATCAGACTGTGTGAGATATTCTGCATTCAGATAATATCAGATGAGGTATCAGGGGATCAGATGAAGGGATGAGAGTATCAGGGGAGGTAGAATAAAGCAAATATTTTCAAACATATGGATACTTAATATGGAATAAATAAAACTCCTGGCTTCCTTGGCTTTTTTCTGGGTACTGAAAATAAGTAGCCCAAAATCACCTTCTCTAGAGAGTCCTCACCTGAAACCCTCTACATGGGAATTTGAAATTTTGGAAATGATAGAAGATGTCAGAAAATTCCCCCTGTAAAATTTATAGGTGTATTGTCTGTATTACATAAACCTTCCAATGGTTCCTCTCTCTAATCTCTGCTCAAATCCACTCAAAACAAACAGGTCAATCTGGATCCATTTTTGTTTAGCCATTTTTTATTGCACAAAACATTTTGTAAGACCATCAGTAGAATTCAAAGTAAAAGAAATATAAATTGTTCATGACCCTATTCCTTCAACAAGTTAAATCATGTTGTGCTTCCTTCTACTTCTTTATCCACATCTATATATCATATCATGGATTGAGTATTTTATTCAGATTTTTTTCAGTTATTATTATGGCCTATGTTCATTTCCAACTCAACAATAAACACACAAATGCATGCACACACGTTAATATACGCCATTGTATACAATGTATTTCAATTAGTTAATCACAACCTTCAACGTAATTAGGTTACAACTGGTGCAGTGGTTGAACTGCAGTAAGTACTTAATGAATTACTGTTAACTGAATAAGCGAAATCTTATTACTTCAGTCTTCAAATTCAAATTCTTTAGTAATTTTATTTTAAATGGGTTGAAGTTTGCTCTGTCATTTTGTACGTTATTAAACGTAAATAAGTTAACCAGTAAATAAAGAATTTAAGCAAGATCTAAATAGAAAATGTTTAACCTATTTGAGAAAAAGAAATAACATAAATAATAAATGCGATCCAATCTTTAGAAGTAAATGATGTCATTTATAAATTCTACTTGGAAATACCATCAAAACAGTAACTTCAAATTAGTGAATACTCCTCAAAAAAATAATAGATTATATTTCTTAAACATGTCCAATGTTCCCTGTTTTTGCTGGTCCTCTCCCCATTTCTGGCTCTTTATGTGACTTTGAATAAATGGTGTTTTGCTGTGTTTAATCCTCTGCATTCTGGAATATGATTTGAACGACAGAATTTTAGGAGGACTTTGTAAAATGCATGAATCCAAACTCTGCACAATTCCTAAAGTGAGCTCTCTAAAAAGAGGGGTCATCGTTGCCTGGCATAAAGCTTGGTCCATAGTAGGTTCATACATCTTTGTAAATGAACAAATGAATGAACAAAGGAGGGAGTCCTCTTCATCCCCAAATTCTCCACAGTCCCCCGTGATATTAAGAGTCTGAGCCCTTTTAAACAAATCCCCGCTGTTCTACTTCGAGGAAAGGAGGGTAGAAAAAAGGGGAAGAGTCTGTCTCTAACAGGAAAGTAATTATTCTCTGTTCACATCAGCCCGTGAGTGATTAGAACCAGTCTACTGATGCCCGGCAGGGTGTGCAGACACTGCACTGACTACATCTACAGATGAATTGTTTTCCATAGAAAGTCAATAATGGCGACGCAGGCTCCTGCCACCCAACTCTAAGCAATCATTCATCACCCACATTGAGAAAAGGAAGAAACTTTATTTGCTTTTCCTAGAGGTGACAAATGAACACGAAATGCAATTTATAGATTTCAAATACGTTACTTCTTCCTTTTTTGGGTATTAGTCCTTCTGACAGTTCAGTGTCCTCAAAAATTAAGTGCATCTTCGCTCTCTTTGACTTGTTCCAGATTTAACATATGGCTACATGATGTAATTCTACAAAAGACTGTCTCGTAGCCTTCTGATCCTTCCGGTCTCTACTGAGGACATTCCCCCCAGAGGAATGCTGCTACGATTTAGTTTTCCAGATTCTTTTCCTAGATGTTTTGTTTTTAGAATTCCATCATTTACCTGTTTAGATGGGGGTGGAGTTAATATGGGGCAACTTCACCACCTCTATGCATATAATTTTCCACACCATTTCTTTGGTCCTAAAGAAAAGAGTATTTAATTTATGTGTTGTTCATTATTTGTTTGCTCATTTTTCTACTCCTTGTCATTCATGGACTGGAATCAAGAAGAGGTAATGTGCTGCGGATATCTCTCTTGCTTTGCTCAAGGCTTAACTCAGACCCAGAGGCCCATAACACAGGTGCATCACAAATACATTCAATGATAATGACAATGACAAAGAAGAATAGCCATAGGAGCAATTGGGCACTCCAGTTATCTAACCACTTTACTCAAACAAACATCTATCTATAAACAATATAAGAGGCTATTTGCAAACCTCTGGCTTCAATATTAACAGCAAATTAAGCAAAATGTAATCAGAGCAAGTAAATAATTTGCTGACCACTGTGAGTGGAAAAGCTGCCTATTCCCAATGTGAGCTTAGCATTTATCCTTCCCTGATGAGCTGAGAGTGAGAGCAATAAGTACTCATCAATTTGCAACTATTTGGATGACAATATTAGGGCAAGTCACATAGGATCCCAGAATGACCCATGAAATGGAAATCACTGCTGTACAAACAATAATGAGAAAAAGAGAGGAAACTGATTAATTAGCAAAAGGTTCAAATAAGTATACACTGATAGAAAACTATCTTTAGAAAGATGGACCCAGTGTGCGA